GGGAAGGTTTATCCCTTCCCCTACCCCCTACCCTTGCGTCTGGAAGGGGGGGGCTCGAGGGGTTAGAGCGCCCAAATCGGCCTCGGCGAGAGGGCAAACATCACCGGTGATAGTCTTGGTCCATGTCATTACTCAGCGACAGTCTTGGTCCATGTCATTACTCACCAGTATCCAAGCCACCTACAAGAAGCAGTATAATCTGACAGATTTTGCGTTTTGGGTGTGCTACGGGAGTTGGTCCGCTTGCGAGGCCTGCGGTTCGTTCTTCTTCAATGACGAGTATTTCTCGAACCGTGTATATCAGGATCGTAGCACGTCGGAACAACCAGACATGCTGGCGGCGTATCGTCGGCAAGTACCGCAGGACCCGGTGGTGCACGCCTGTGGCCAAGTTGGTATATCTTCGAGATGGTGGTATAAGCCAGGCATGTACACGCCTGTGGTTGCCAGCTGCCCTTGCTGTTCTGGTAAAGAGAGTCCTCTCGAGAAGTTCAACCGCCGTATGCAGAACCATGGGCAGGCCCTCAAGGTTGCAAAGACGTCGGAGTTGTATAGGATCCCCTTGGCGACGAAGTCGGGCTACGAGGCAAAGGAGTGTATCACATGGCCTGAACAACAACCACAGAACAAGAATGAACATGTATCGTCTCGCAACAACGGAAACAAGTCCTGTGGTATGCTGGCGCCACGCACGTGGTACCACTCAAAATAAGTGTCTTCGCTTGTGTGGTACAGAAACGGAAAAACGTCGGAAAACGGTACAGGTGTCCAGTGTTGGAACAGGGGGGAAAGTCGTATACTAAGCTAGCTTCCACAACATGTTACCACAACAAGTCACTGTACCCATGCGCCAGTGTAGTAGCCAAGGTCGTTCGCAGGCCACGAAGTGAAGTGTCCGTCCGAACGTCATAGGGCGGGAAGCTGGGTGTGGGTGGTGGCGAAGAGTCGTTTGGAAACTTGGTAGAGCTTGAACCGGCCCCCCCACAAAGTGGGGATATTGCCCGCCTCCTATGAAAACCCTGGCACTGGTGAGAACGGAGTGTCCCCAGTCTTAAATGATTGTTGTTGTTGTTGTTGTTGCTAGATAACTCCCTGCTCAGCCAAGGGTGCCTCTTCCCCTTCGTTCGCCGGAATTGATCCAGCGGCCACGAGCGCGACCACGGGTGCTGCCAGTAATCCCCCCACCCCTGTGGGCGTGAGTGGTTCAGAGCGTTTCCTCTTCCACACCCCCTTCTTCCCCCTCGGGGAAGGTTTATCCCTTCCCCTACCCCCTACCCTTGCGTCTGGAAGGGGGGGGCTCGAGGGGTTAAAGCGCCCAAAACGGCCTCGGCGAGAGGGCAAACATCACCGGTGATACTAAAGTTTGGGCCACATGTTGGATCATGTTGGCCTCCTGTGGGGGGGGACCCAAGTTTAGAGCCTCCAAGAGGCCCCAGAGAGACTCCCAAGAGACCCACCCGAGGCCCGACGAGGCTCCCCTGAAGCACCCAAGAAGCTTCAAGAGGCCCCCAGGACCGTCACGAGGCCCCCAAGTGGCCTACAAGACGCTCTCAAGAGACATCCGAAGAAACCCCAAGAAGCATCCAAGAGCCCTCTGGCCTTTCTGCTCGCCCTCCTCCTCCTCCTCCTCCTCTTCTTCCTCCCCCTCCTTCCCCCCCTCCTTCTCTGGTTCATCCCCTGGTTCCTCCTCCATCCCCCTCCTCTTTTAGCAACATCTCTGCACACGCAAGGGCCTGTTTGCCAGCCCGCGCCATTGGCGCCTCCCGCGCCGCCCTCCCCACCCCCGCCTCCCCGCCCAGCCCGGCCGTGCCGAGGCGCCGCCGCCCAAACGGATCGTCGGCGGCCAGGCAGGCTGGGCACCCGCGCGCCAAGGCCCGAGCCACGTGTGCCTTGCGCGCCCTGTGCGGGCACCGCGGCGTGCAACCTTCGCGCCTCGCGGGCGCTCTGGCTGCCGCGCGGCGGCCGCACGCCGCTATTGCTCACCGACGTTCGCCATTGATAGACGGAACGCACGCAATCACTGCACACATGCCTACGCACAGGGTTCTTCGGATAAATCATGAAGCCGAGCCCCTTGCTTGGCCCACCAGTCAACAGCCTTGGATCCAGCAGTGAGACCCGCGAGCGATCATCCATGCCTTCAGAGACTTCTTGGCGGGCCTTTACTTTAAGCAGGGGGGGCACAACTACACTGCCTGACTACCCGACTCACTACCCTCCAGAAAAGTAATGGGGGGGAACGATTAAAACAAATTTTCTGGGGCGGGCGATTAAACAAATTGTTTCGCGGGCCGCCTCGCCCTCGCAATAGCGGGGGGGGCAGGGCAGGCAGACGGGGGGCTGACAATCCCGGGTCGCCTGAAGGCCAGGGGGGGGGCATGGGGTGGCGACCCAGCGCGCGGGGGCCAGGGGGTGGACGGGGTGATTTTTCAGGGCGAGCTCGTCGTCCTCCACCTCGTTTTCCTCGTCCTCCTCCTCCTCGTCCTCCTCCTCCTCCGCCTCCTCCTTGTCTTCCTCCTCCTCCTCCTCCTCCTGCTCCTCCTCCTCGTCCTCGTCCTCGTCCTCGTCGTCCTCCTCCTCCTCCTCCTCCTCCTCCTCCTCCTCGTCCTCCTCCTCCTCCTCCTCCTCCTCCTCCTCCTCCTCTTCGTTCTCCTCCTCCTCCCCGTCCTCCTCCTCGTCCTCCTCCTTTTCCTCCTCCTTCTTCCCTCCCTTTCCTCCCCCCCTTCCTCTTCCTCCTCCTCCTCCTCCTCCTCCTCCTCCTCCTCCTCCTCCGCCTCCTCCTCCCTCCTCCCCCTCCTCCTCCTCATCCCCCACCTCCCAATCGCCGCGGCCGTCCACAAGGACGACCGGCGGCCGTCCGCAAGGACGAGGCTGATCAAGCGCCTCTTCGAAAACCCCTTCCCTCAACTACTCCCTAATTACCCCGTCCCCCCTCCGCAATCCTCCCCCCGCGGCCGCTGGTGATCAAGCGAGCGAAGGAGGACGAATGGAAAATCAATTCCCCCAAAAGGGGCAAAAGCAAACTCCAGGGGGCGGACGATAAAAAAACAGCTTCAGGCGGCTGAATTCTATTAGTCCGCCCCACTCAATCATTTTGGGGGGTCCGGGGGGGGAGGGGGGGGGCGTTTTTTTTTAATCGTTTCCCTCCATTACTTAGAGGAGCCTCCAAGAGCACGAGGATGATGACCCAGCAAACAGAGCCTTATCCTCCTCCTCCTCCCTCCTCCTCCTCCTCCTCCTCCTCCTCCTCCTCCTCCTCCCCTCCTCCTCCTCCTCCCCTCTCCTCCTCCTCCTCCTCCTCCTCCTCCTCCTCCTCCTCCTCCACCTCCTCCTCCTCCTCCTCCTCCTCCCCTCCTCCTCTCCTCCTCCCCTCCGCCTCTTCCTCCTCCTCCTCCTCCTCCTCCTCCTCCCTCCCTCTTCCTCCTACTCCTCCCCCTCCTCCTCCACGTGCTCCTCCTCCTCCCCCTCCTCCTCCTCCTGTTCCTCCTCCTCCTCTTCTTATTATTCTTATTCTTCTTCTTATTATTATTCTTCTTATTATTATTATTCTTATTATTATTTTTCTTATTATTATTCTTCTTCTTCTTCTTATGAGCATTATTATTATTCTTGGTATTCGTATTATTCTTCTTATGTTTACTATTATTAATATTATTATTCTTATTTGTCGTATTATTATTACTATTATTATATTTATTAATATTATTATTCGTATTAGTATTCTTTTTCATATTAGTATTAGTAATATCATTATTATTATTATTCGTATTAGTTGTCTTCTTCTTATTCGTATTATTAGTATTCTTCCTCTTATTATTAGTATTCGTCTTACTATTTTTCTTATTTTTCTTGTTCTTCTTCTTCTTCTTCTTCTTATTCTTCGTCCTCCTCCTCCTCCTCCTCCCTCTTCCTCCTCCTCCTCCTCCTCCTCCCCTTCCCCCTCCCTCCCCCTCCCCCCCCCCTCCTCCTCTTTTTCTTCCTCCTCCTCCTCCTCCTCCTCCTCCTCCTCCTCCTCCTCTTCCTCCTCCTCCTCCTCCTCTTCCTCCTCCTCCCCCTCCCCCCCCCTCCCCCTCCTGGTAATTATCATCTCGGCTCAAGTCAACTGCCGCTGGGCCGTCAGCCCGCCGCCCGACCGATACCTGGTAGGACGCCCGCGCTGCCAAGGCGGCGCTGGAGGCCACGCGCGGCGCGCACGGCGTGGTTTTGGCGACGCATGCGGTGGCCGGGCTGGCGGGCGGCCAGCGGGAGGCTTTGCGACTCATCCGCGCCGCCGAAGGCCTCCTCCGAGCGGCGGTCGCCGTGATGGCGACGCCCCCCGCGCCCGCCCCGCCCCAGACGGCGGCGATCGCGCCCGCGACGCCACCCGCGTGGGCGTGGCGGGAAGGCGGGCGACGGGAATAACACAGAGGTAGCCGTGAGCGGGTGCGGGGCGGCGGAGGGAGCTGAGCGGGGCGCTGCGGCCCCCGCCTCGCCGCTGGCGCCTGACGAGCGGGCGGATGCGCTGCCAATCGTCGCGAATGCCAACGGCCAGGGCAAGGGCGCAGGCAAGGACAAGGTGGTGCCTGGCTCCCCTGCAGCGCGGGCCGCCCGCGGCGCGGCCGCGCTCGAGCTGGTGAAGCCCCCCGTCGCGACGGCCAGCGGCGGCTCGGAGGGTGTCGACGGCATCGGCGCGGGCGACCTCTCGGTGCTGCAGGGCCGGCTGGCGAGCCGAGCGAACGTTGGCCGCCCTCCTGGAGGTCGGCCGGGCGCTGCGGGCACGGCGCCCACGATGGAGCTGGACGCGCGGGGGCGCGCGCGCGCGCGGGGCGCTCGCGCACCTGCCTGGACGTGCGGGCTCTTCCCCCCCGTGGCCCACGTCGTAGAGGAGGTCGCGAACGTTGGCCGCGCTCCGCGTGCTCCTCCGCGCGGCCGGAAGGCCCAGGACTGGCCAGTGGAAGTGGAAATGGAAGCCGCTGCGCCCCCGAGGGGGCCCGCGAGGGGCGCAGCGCTGCTCGTGCCGCTCATAGCTTCATGAACCACGCGGCGAAATTCTCGACTCTGGATGACCACCAATCCCGGTCCAGCGCCTGATTGGTCCAAGAATCGACGTCGTTCTCTGCAGTGAAACGCCGGACAACGTGCGCCACGCGCAGTCTGCTACCGATTTGTCCCGTCAGAATCCCGCCACTCAATCACCTAGCGCACCCAAATTGAAATGCTCATTCTGGCAAGGTGCCCTGCCCACAACCATTTATTCCGGGCGCGCTCCTCTACCCCGTCTCTCACTCCGGCCTCCCGCGCCTTCGCGCGAGTTCTCCTTCCGCCCGAGCATGTTATGTTGAACTGTTCGCAACCGCTGCATTTCCTCCACTCGCGGCGTCCAGGAATGCGATCCATGGAGTACTGCGCTGCCCGCCGTGGCGTCGAAGAGACGCAGGCGCCTGTTGATCGAGACATTCGGGCTGAGCGGCAGGCGCTTCAAAGCCCAGAATTCCCGCCACCCAAATGCCAACCCGTGATCGATCTCAGGCTTCGTTGGGTCCGCGGGTGACGCCGATCTGCCTAGCGCCTCCAGGCACTCCGACTTCTCTAAGACTTGCAAGGAAAAGCCGTCTTCTAAAACAGCGCCCCCCCGTCTTGCCCAGCCCAGGATATCCGTCTGTGCTTCGCAATTGGTGGGGCGCAAGCACAGGCCACGAAGCAGCAACAGACGTCGTAACTCCAACGCCATTCTCTCGAGCGAAAGCCAAGACCGCGCCACCAAACTAACGTCGCCAGCGAAGGCGACGCGGGCGAGCCGCTTGCCGCCCAATCCCCGCCCAACCTCCGTGCCGCATCCTCTTCGTTGCCACGTTGCCTGCGCTTCTGTCAAAACCTGCGCCATCACGAGGTTGAACAATGCCGGGGAAAGCGGGTCGCCTTTACGCACGCCGCGTTGAACCTGAAATCGGCGACTCTCCACGCCTGGCCACAGCTGCGCTCGCGCGCCCCCGTGCCCAGGTAAAGCTCGCGCAACACCTTTACGACAGAGACGTCTATATTGGCAGACAACAGAGAGTCGAACAGTTCGTCGTGATGCACCTTGCCAATCGCCTTCTCTACGTCAAGTGCTGCCAACCTCAAGTCTCCTCCCCGCTCGGCAGATTTTTCCACCACCGTGCGCAGCACGTGTGCCGCATCATCGCAACCACGCCCATTGCGGAAAATGCGCTGTTCCTCCTGAAGCCTGTTCTCCACAACAGGTTGAATACGGAAATATAACACTGTACTGACTAGTTCTGACATGACAGGTACAAGTGGCATTGGCCTGTAGTTTTTTTTATCCCGAACGCTCCCCTGTCTTGAATATCACTGACAGCTTGCGGGCGATCTTCCATTCCACGGGAGGCCCCATGCGCCCCGTAAGAATATCACAAAAGTAACCCGCAATAGTTCCAAAAGTGCAGCGCGCCCTGTCTGTAGCACCTCGGACACGAGGCCGTCGCCTGCACAAGTTCGTCATTTTGTTTTTTCATCTTGCGTGGGCCAGCTGTGAGCTCTTCTACGGTTAACCAGGGTACCAAGCCATCCAACTCCTGCTCTTCCAGGCCCTCCGCGCGGGCGCCCTTGTACAGCGCTTCGTAAAAGTCCGCAAATGCCTCGGCGACCCCTCCACTGTCTGCGACTCGCACTCCGTCGTTATTTGTCACTGCTGCGATCCTTTCCTCGAATGCATTTGCCCTTCTCTGCCAAATATTCTATTTCTCGCCCCTGTCGCAGCCGTCGCTGTCGTCGCAAAGCCCTCCGAAGCTTCCTCGATATCTCCCGCCGGGCGGCCGGGCACGTCGCCGCCCGCCTTTCGAAGAACATCTGCTGCACCTCCTCGGAATGAACGCGTGGAGGGTGGCTGTTGCAGGAGCGACTTGACCTCGCGACCGCCACCGCTAAACCCTTCACATCTGTAAAGCCAGAGTGTCTTCCAGAATAAAGCCTTCGCCGGCAAGTCGCGGTACCCCGTCGAATTGCCGTCGCCATCCAGCCCCGGCGCCCACCCTCTCATCCTTCGCCCCCATCGCTGCTCTCAGTGGCGGTGCGTAGATGCATGCTACTCCAGCGAATATCGCTCTGTGATCCGATTTGCCCTCCAACTGTCTCCAAACGCCCGCGTCGTGAACGAGCTCGGCGCGCGCGGTCGACTAGCAAATGATCTATTTATCGCAGTTCTCATGCGCTCCATAATCTGCGCGCCCAAGTGCTGCCCCACTCCCGCCCCAACAATCCCGCCGCGGAAATACAACGAGCACTATGTAACCAATGACTGAATCGATGCCCCCGCCCATTCCGGCTCCCGTGCCCAAAATGTCATACTACTTGGGGCTCGTCGCGCGCTAGTCGTTTCCCCAGCACTGCGTTCGCGTCATACGCCTGCCACTACCCCCCCCCCCGCCCCACGCGCACTGAATGCGGCCTTCTCCAATTCAACCAAGCCCTCCTCGAACTCTTCGTCCGTGGCTCCAGAATTGCGCAAGTGGGAAATTACAAAACGAATGCGCGAACCAGGCAAGTCGCCATCGACGTAACATAATGTAGCAGTAGGGGCATTGAAACGTGCATCAACACCTCGTTGTACCCAGCGCTCGTGCAGCAGCACACCCACGCGTCTCTTAGTAGAAGCCTCCTTCGAAGAAAACTATCACTGACCTGACTCCAAAACCTTTTTCAGTTGGATGCTCCGCGCGAGGCCCCTCTTGGTACAAACGAATATCCCACGCTGGCCCCTCGTCAAGCAGATCAGCAACATCCTGCATGCACCCATCCTCCATTCCACGCGCATCCCATGAAATAGTAACGAAACAATCATGTACTGACATGTCGCCTGGCCCCGTCTCCCCCCCGCTCTCTGAAATTTCAGCCTGGCCAGGCGTCCCAGGCTTCATCCTTCCAGCGCGTTGGAGTAGCGTCACCGGCACGTCGCCGCACACATTGGCATATGCTCCTCCGCCTCCTCCCTGGGGCCCACCGGCCCCTACCTCCACCTTCGTGTCCTCCTCCGCCTAATCTGCGGCGTAGAGCTTTTCGAAGTGGTCCTTCCAAACCATACCCGCCCCAACCAAGTCCATCTTACCGTCTACCCATGCTGCCACCCGCTCATCCTTGAACCACGCAATGCCTTTGAAGTAATTGGTGTCGATCTTGTATTTCACCGCAGCCCCAATGTCCCCGTTGACCTCGACGATCTTCCTCACCATCATCCGGACCGCCCGCTCACGTTTTGCATCCTCCGATGTCGGGTCCCTGTACTTGTAATCCGTATTGCAGTACAGGTTCTGGCCATTGTACTTATGAACATGTTGGCCCGCCTTCTTGCGCACGTGTTTCCACATGGCCTCAGACGTTTTGAACCGTGCGCCACCGCGTTCCGCAAATCCCTTCCCATATGCGAAAGTTTCCTCTACGTCCTCCCTGGCCTCGGCGAGCACGCCTTCCATGAATTTCACGATATCCGGTGCTTTGCTGTCCTCAGGAAAGCGCCCGGGGTTCACGGTGCGACCAAACTGATCCTCCCTTTACCCTTAGTCTGACCCCCAGTTCCAATCGTCGAAAACCCTTTCCCAATAAGACCTTCCTCCTTGATGATGCCGTTTTACCAACTTGGGTATATCATCCCGTAGTGTGGAAACCTCCTGCTTGATCATATCCGCTGCTTTCATGGCCAAGTCTGCCGTGACCTTAGCCTGCTTAGCGGTATTCGCTGCTTCGGCCATGTTTGTCTTCACCTCCTGCATGTCCTCCCTCATGCTTTTCATCATCGTCATCATCTTCTTCATCATGCCGACCATCGCCTTAGACCCCTCAGCCGCATCGTCATCGTTGAGGTCATCCTCTTCGTCCATGTCAATATTCTCCTTGTCCTTCCCGATATTGGCCTTCTTCTCCTCAGGAGTCTCCCAGTGTGGCCGTCATTCTTCCTCGTCGCCATCCTGTACTCTATATAGCAGATCCCACTGAAACCGTGATGCTGGAGGGCGCCACCCCAGTCAACAAAGAATCTGAGCAGATCGTGTATCAGGTTCGCCTTGAGGTGCAAGCCAGGGTTCCTCCTAGAAGCGAGCCAGCCCATGGCCAAAATGCATACTTAAGCCCTTGAGCCAAAATGGCTTGGTCCAGGTCCTGTCCAGTCCTGGCCAGGTCCGGTCCAGTCCAGGCCCCCGTGGTCGGCGGGGTCCTGGGCTTGCTGTAAGCCTCCCGCGCGGCGGCGAAGCGGACCCAGGCCCCCCGCTGTCGGCTGGCGAGGCAAGACAGCTCACCAGTAGTGGTCATGCCAAAAAAACCCTCCTCCTCCTCCTCCTCCTCCTCCTCCTCCTGCTCCTCCTCCTCCTCCTGCTCCCCCCCCCCTCCTCCTCCTCCGCCTCCTCCTCTCCTCCTCCTCCTCCTCCTCCTCCTCTCCTCGTCTCCTCCTCCTCCTCCTCCTCCTCGTCCTCGTCCTCCTCCTCCCCCCCTCCTCCCTCCTCCTCCTCCCCTCCTCCTCCTCCTCCTCCTCCTCCTCTCCTCCTCCTCCTCTCCTCCTGCTCCCCCCCCGCCTCCTCCTCCTCCTCCTCCTCCTCCTCCTCCTCCTCCTCCTCCCTCCCTCCTCCTCCTCTCCTCCTCCTCCTCCTCCTCCTCCTCCTCCTCCTCCTCCTCCTCCTCCTCCTCCTCCTCCTCCTCCTCCTCCTCCTCCTCCTCCTCCTCCTCCTCCTCCCCCCCCTCCTCCTCCTCTCCTCCTCCTCCTCCGTCCTCCCTCCGTCCTCGTCCTCGTCCTCGTCCTTCCTCCTCCTCCTCCTCCTCCTCCTCCTCCTCCTCCTCCTCCTCCTCCTCCTCCTCCTCCTCCTCCTCCGCGCGAGGCTCCTTGATGGCGCTCACCATCCACTCTGGGCTCTTGTGGCCGGCCGGCGGTGCCACGACGAGGGAGCCCCCGCAGGTGAGCGCGGGGAACCTGAGGGTGAGGGAAAGGAGGAGGCGGAGGAGGAGGAGGGGAGGAGGAGGGGGAGGGAGGAGAGGAGAG